CCCTGGAGCGCTCATCCAGGGAGCGCCCCACGCCTGGCTGTCCGCGTCCCCGCGGCTCACCGAGGCTGCCCCGGAACCCCCACCCCTCCACTCGCCCGAGAGCACAGAGCTGGCCTCCGGCGACGACGAGCAAGAAGGAGCCCGCGCTGCCGGGTAAGCCGCACCTAACCCGCGGTGTGGCCGGGGCACCACCACACACGCGCCGGAGGCCTCGGGGGGCCCCCGAGGGGGAGGCGCCCCCACCCCCCCGCTTGGATAGCCTACTGTGATCTTTGAGAACCACGTTGAGCCTCACGAGGAAGCGCTCACACGGGTGATGTTTGTAACTCCTAGTTCATAGCATGTTTCTTGCCTTTAAGGAAAAGGAAGTGCTGGACAGATTGAAACAGGTGCTTGGAGCTGGGCATAGGCTGGGGTGGTGTGTGTGCGGGTGAGGGTAGGGAGTTGCGGGGGGGGGCGGTCCAGACCAAGCTCCAGGTGTTTTGCGTTAAGGGTTTAAAAGACTCTGGACACCACGTGCTTTCCTGCTACAATCACCTATCCATCCGTTTCCCTGCGCGCCCGTTCCGTTGAGGGGCTTGGCTTGCACACTTCGCCTTGGAAGAGGGGCCAAAGCTTTCGTTCTTTTTGCAACAGAAACAATCAAACGGCTTAATCTCATGACTGTATGATGAAAACAGGAGTCTGATGTTTCAGTCTGACTCCTGTTACAGACTAATGTTCTCGGGTAAATAAGGGGCTTAGAAATAGGGCCCGGTTTCTCAGCCAGAAAGGGAGCACTGGAGGCCTCGTGACCAAGGCGTGCAGAGCAGTGAGTTTACAGGAAAAATCAGAACGGTGATACGGTTGTAAATGGAGCCCAGTAGTCTGCTTGATTACACATTTATGGGACACCTGCTGTATGCCAGCCACTGTGCACAAGTCTGTTCCTTGCCTGCAGAAGCTCGCTGGTGGAGAGGGGGCTTGAACTGCACTCCAGGTAAGTGGACTGTGTCAATCCAGTGTGGTCAGTGGTGAGTTAGATGTGCACACAGGTTCTTAGGAGCACAGAGGAGCAGGGAGCTTTCCTGGCCTAGGATGGAGGGAGCACGGAAGGTGAGGCGGACAGAGGAGCTGTGAGCTGAAGGTTAAAAGGAGGTTGGTTCATTGCAAACCTTACCTTGTCCCAGCCCTACTTAAAACCCTGCAGTGGTCCCTGCCTGCCCAGGAGGTAAAGACCAGTCTCCCTACTGGGACAGGAGGCTTCCAAATCCTGGCCCTTTTCTTTCAGCCTCAGCTTACCTGCTTTCCTGTGCCAAAGTACTCCAGTTTTACTCTTTGACCCACTGTTCTGAGTGTTCCTAACCTTTCCCTAGATCAGAATTTGTTTTTTAACGTTTATTCAGTTTTGATAGAGACAGAGCGTGCACTGGGGAGGGGCAGAGAGAGAGGGAGACACAGTATCCCAAGCAGGTGCCAGGCTCTGAACTGTCAGCACAGAACCCAACTCGGGGCTCGAACCCACGGACTGTGATCATGAGCCAAAGCTGGTGCTTAACCGACTGAGCCACCCAGGCGCCCCTAGATCCGAATGTCTTAGGGAATTTGTTTAAAATGTGGCTCTCAGGCCACATCCCCAGAAATTTAAATTGGTGGGTCTAGAGAGGGACCCAGAAATAGCCATTGTAACAAGCCCCTCAGGTGATTTTTATTCATGTTAGAGTTTGAGACACTGCTAGACCTTTCAAAAACAAAGTCAATTAAAATCATCCTGGGAGGGGAGAGTGGAGGAAGCAGGTGGTGGGGGCTTATATGGAGGAAAAGGACCTTTTCACCTTCACTGAAGTGTCTGGCAGCTAGGAGCCAGGAACACTTAATTTGTTAATGGGTTATCCTACTACGTTAAACTAAGAGTAAGTCATTCTTCTCTATCACATATGTTGTGTTTGCTCTCACTGCGTGGTCGCCCTCTGCCTGGGCGAGGGTTGGAAAAGCAAAGACTCAAATCACCCACAGATTGAACGCCACCCTTAAGATTCAGGGTCTAATTGTACCAAAGTGTTTGTGTTTAAGGGAATTGGAGATGTTGGCATTTTTCTAAACACATAAATCGCTGAACCTGTTGGGCTTGGAGTATTGCATTAGAAAAATTTAAGGTTTCTTCCTTTGTTGATATTCTTGGCTTGCTGTTGCGTGGCTTTTTTTTTTTTTTTTTTTTTTTTTTTTTTTTTTTTTTTTACAAATACCGCAGCCGTTTGTTGATTTACATGAAAATTTGCTCTAATGGCTACAAGTGAATTTGGCCTCCTAAGGCTTAGAAGAACATCTTCGTGAGTTTCCTTGGCAAGGGGTAGCGTTGCTGATACATGCTGTTAAAAGTTCCCCCTGATACAGTCCACTTACCTGTAGTACGTTCAAGCCCCCCTTCCAGCACCAAGGGCAGGAAGACCACTCTTCACAGGGGGGGCGAGAACGTGTTGTTTGAGGAGCGCTTGGGAATATTTATTTCTAAGTCTTGTTTGGTTAGATTTCATCTTTGTGATCGTCACACAACTTCATATGCTCACCTGGCTTAGTGGGTGGGGTTTTTTATTTTTACTTGGAGGGAGTGGTTCTTAGTTTTTGGAGTCAAATTCTAAACCACCACTCACCCTCTCATCAAGAGCCATTTAGTCCAGCATATCTGTCTTCCCTTGGAGGAGAATAAGACTCCTTTGCCCTTCTTCTCTTTCCACAGTGAGAACGATAACCAGAAGGTGGCTGGTTGAGAGAAATGTCAAAGCAGAAACAGGGTCGTTTGCTCCTGTCTTACCTGCCACGCCCAGGCGTGGCAGGCCTGGGACCAGAGAGGCAAGAGTAAAGTTGTGAAAGACAGAAATCTGAACGGGCCCTGGGCAGGGAGAGGGCCCCGTCACAGCACACGGGGCGGTGAGGGCCCGGAAACAACCGGGAGGCGAGGCACCTGTCCGAGGCAGAGGGTGGGGGCGGGGGGCCGAGGGCAGCTGGAAGCAGTCACGGGTTCAGGGACCAGGGCGCCCTGAGCCTGAAGAGGGCAAAGGGCCGGATGATCAGATGAACGCTGTGGGCCCATGACGACCAAGCTGATGATGGGTGGTGCCCAGCGGCCTCCTTTGGAAATCCCAGGAAAGGACGGTTTGAGGTCGCCGGTGAGGGGCATTGAGAACACCTGGCTGAAGGGAGACAGCCCTGGCAGGTGAGAACAGGTGCCGGCATGAGTTAGCCTCATAACCTCTCACCCCCGGGCCCCAAACACTCAAGATTCTATGCTTCTACCAAGAACAGGGACCATGTTTAAGACGTGGGGTTGCTAAGATAAGATGAAAACAGAGAGGGAGGCAAACCATAAGAGACTTTTTTTTTTAATTTTTTTTAATGTTTATTTAATTTCTGAGACAGAGAAAGAGCATGAGTGGGGAGGGGCAGAGAGAGAGGGAGACACAGAATCCGAAGCAGGTTCCAGGCTCTGAGCTGTCAGCACAGAGTCCGACACGGGGCCCGAACTCACAAACCGTGAGATCATGACCTGAGCTGAAGTCGGTCACTCAACCGACTGAGCCACCCAGGTGCCCCAGGAGAGTCTTAAATACAGAGAATAAACTGAGGGTTGTTGGAGGCGTGTTGGGTGGGGGATGGGCATGAAGGAGGGCACTTGTTAGGATGAGCTCTGGGTATCACATGTAAGTGATGAATCACTAAATTCTACTCCTGAGATCCTTATTGCGCTCTATGTTAACTAACTTGGATTTAAATAAGGTTAAAAAAAAAAGTCATAAGAGAAAGAGAGGGGGTTGCTGCTGCTTGTTTTTAATCAGCCTATAGTAATAATAAACCACGTTGCATGTGTTTTGTGATTTAGTTAGTACTTTCTCCTCTGAGCCTCTCTTCCCAGTATTCCAGAACTTTGGAGAAACTTCTGTGCCATGCCAGTCTACTCCAGGATGGCGAGGTTCTAGCAGTAACTGTTGCATGGCATCCAAGATGCCTCAGAACCTGGCCCCAACCTTCCCCTGGCCCCCCAGTCTCCTCACAGGCTCTTGTTCTAAGCTCATCCTTTCTCAGAATGGCTCTTGCCACCTCATGCCCCAGGGCCACAGATGGTGTCATTTTATAGGCACGAAACGCCATCCTTCCCTTTTATTTCTGTCAGAGTCTTACTCATACTTCAAAGCCCAGCCCAGATAGTCTCTGTTCTGTGAAGCCATCTCAACTTTCAACTTTCCACAGCCCAAATGAGCGGCGTCCTCCCACTGTGCTGGGTTAGCCTTGACTTGACCGCGCTCAACACAGGCTGACCTGAGAGCCTTGTATGTTCTCTGCGGGAATGTGAGTTCCTGAGTGATAACCTGCATCTGTTCGTGTCCAGCACTTTCTTCTTGGTTTACAAATACCAACTCATTGAATCCTCATAATAACCCAGGAAGGTACTCTTATTAGCCACGTCGTATTGAAGAAACCGTGGCATAGAGCTTGAGTACTTTGTCAAGGTCACACGGCTGGTAAGTGACACACCCAGGATTTGAACCCAGTTAGTCTGGTTCCCACCCTTCCTCCAAGTCACTAGGCTATACTGCTTATTTATATTTCCGTCACGGCCCTTCAGTGCTCGGCACAGCGATTTATACGTTGGGGGGGTGGTCATTGTTCCTTGACCGAAAGTTAATCACCACTGTCAGGGCAGGAGGGTGGGAGGCGGCCGTGGCTCTTCAGGGAGCCGCAGTGACGGGAATTTTCTGAAGCTGGGCCAGTGACAGTCCCGTGAGTCTACACGTGAGATAAAATTTTGTAGAACTAGATGTACACACACACACACACGTGAATGTATATCAAATTGGGGACAGCTGAGTAAGCTCTATGGCTGGTGCCAACATATGTCTCCTGGTGTGATCTTATTTCATACTTACGTACAGTGTTACCACCACAAGGGGGGAATGGGTAATGACTCCGTGGGATCTCTCCATATCATTTCTAACAGTTGCATGTGAATATACGATTATCTCAAAAAAATTTTTAAAATCTTTAATGTTTAGTTTTGAGAGAGAGTGCGAGTCAGGGAGGGGCAGAGAGTGAGGGAGACACAGAATCTGAAACTGGAAACTGGCTCCAGGGTCCGAGCTGTCAGCACAGAGCCCAATGCGGGGCTTGAACCCACGGACTGCTGCAAGATCATGACCTGAGCCAAAGTTGGACACTGAACCGATGGAGCCACCCAGGCACCCCTCAAAAAAATTTTTTTAATTGTTGATCCCAGTTTATTGTTTTAAAAATAAATAAACATTTTTATTTTTATTTTTTAAATTTTTTTCATGTTTGTTTCTTTTTGAGAGAGAGAGACAGAGCAGCAGCAGGGGATGGGCAGAGAGAGAGAGGGAGGCACAGAATCCGAAGCAGGCTCCAGGCTCTGAGCTGTCAGCACAACGGGGCTTGAACTCACGAACCATGAGATCATGACCTGAGTTGAAGTTGGACGCTTAACCGACTGAGCCACCCAGGTGCTCCATAAATAATTTATGCTCCATAAATTTTTTAAAAACTGTTTGTTTATTTAGAGAAAAGATGAGCAGGGGAGGGGCAGAGAGAGAGGGAGACAGAATCCCAAGCAGGCTCCGTGGTGTCAGTGCAGAGCCTGACACAGGGCTTGATCCCACACGCTTGGTGATTGTGACCTGAGCTGAAATCGAGTCAGATGCTGAATGGACTGAGCCACTCAGGTGCCTTGATCCCAGTGTTCTGACCACAAATTCAGTTCTTCTGGACTCACGTTTAATTCACAGAAATAACATTTCATGTATAAGTAGCACTAACCTTTTGTTGACGATAATTGTAAAACATTTAGATTTAAATTATATTTATTTCTTCAGGGCTGTGGATAGGAACGCAGAGGAATGTCTGTCTAACTTGTTTTAAAAAGTAAAATAGGGGCACCTGACTGGCTCGATTGGTAGAGCATTTGACTCTTGATCTCAGGGTCATGAGTTCAAGCCCCAAGCTGGGCAGGGAGCCTACTTAAAATAAATTTAAAAATGTTTTTTTTAAAAAAGGTAAAACAATAACAATGTCTCTGTTATAATAGGAATGCAAATTTATTAGGAAAATACTGATAAATACAGAAGGATTAGAAAAGGAAAAACAATTTTTCAATTGTATTTCAATATTGATATTGAAATTCAATATTTCAATATTGAAACAATATTTCAATCTGTATTGTTGCAGCCTTCAGAATTTATTGAGTGACGCTGTAATTTAACTAGTCTCCACCTATTGGAGAAAACATTTAAAGCCTTACATTTCTCAAAACTAGAAAAGCAAATTTGAAATAAACCTTCTGATTTTTTCTCTGGCAGACTTTTTTTTTTTAATCTCTTCCAATTAGTGATTGATTTGATTTTGTTCTTTTCTTTTCTTTTCTTTTCTTTTCTTTTCTTTTCTATTACAGTCCCAACCGAACCTGTGAGGAACCACAAAATTGTTCGTTGCACAGAAACAGACAGGCAGCCAGGCTGGCAAGTGTTCAGCTAAAGTGTTTCCTCAAGGAGGAGTCAGGGATTCTGAGGTCATAAACTTGACAGGCCAGCAGGGCAGCTTTTAAGAGAGTAGGATTCCCTGAACACGTTTTTTTTCCTCGTGTGGTATCCTGGGGCTAGACCTCTGCCGGTGGCCTGACGGATTTCTCTGGTGTTCAGGTCTGGGTCGGCGACCCCAGGAAAAAGTGCTCTGCCAGGGGACCGTAGTGTGTGGGAAGAGAGCGCGGTCTTCTGGCCACAGCGTGGTCCTCACGGTTCCGCTGGTTCTTTCGGGACACGGACCCCTGTCCTCCTGGGCTGTGAAGCCATCCTTGTCCCCCATGACCCAGGTGCCCCCCAGGTCTGGTGAGTAGTATGGAAGGTGAGGTCCCGTCGTGGTCAGCAGGCTCCTCTGCTCTTTGGGGGCTCCAGGTTTTTAGGTCCGCTCATCTTCGGGTGACCGTTCGAAGTCCGTGGGGTCACAGATGACCTGCCCCTGTCTTTAAATGCCTCCTGGTGCTTGTGTGGGCTAGCGTGGGCTAGAAGCTAGGAGAGGCTTCCTTTGCATGGAGCCGGGGAGCGGGGGGAAATCCTGGGCTCGCCTATTGTGAGGTAGAGAATCCAAACGATGGGAGGTGAGCTTGATCGCCTGAGAAACAATTCAGCCCCACAAAACCTATCGTTCAGTTCGTTGGAAAGACAAGGCAGCAAGAGAACCAGATAGGCTGCCGACGCAGGCCCAGGGACAGGGGAAGAGGGCAACAGAGATGGGAGAACCCATATTTAGAATTAGAGACGAACTAGACCTGGTCACGTACAACTTAAGTCTAGTGACCGAATTTCGGATCTGCACTCTTTCGAGATCCTGCGGGGCCCGATTTGTTGGCCTCTGTTGATTGGGGCTCGAGAGCCAGGGTGGGCGCTGGTGCCTCTCAGACTTCTCAAACCGAACCTGAGTCTCAGCCCGAACTCCTGATTCCCACCCAGAACGTGTGACACTTCCAGTCCTCTTCATCTTTGCACCACCCACCCGGCCGGAATTACCCTTGATTTCGCTCTCTCCCTCCCAGCTGACAGATAAATTGTCAAAAACCAGTTCGACCTCCCTGGTGCATCTCCCATGCTTTAACCTCCCTCTGCCGCCACCGCTCTGGTCCAAGCCCTTCCTCTCCTGCCGGTCCCTCAGCGACAGCCTCCTAGACTTGTCTCCTTGTCTCCACTCCTGTCGTGCTATAATCCATTCTCCACAGACTTACCCCGCAGTCTAAAAACGTAAACTGAGCCACATGTCACCCTTCTGTTTATACGTGGTAAGGACTTTCCGCTGCACCCAGAGGAAAACACAGCCTTCCTGCTAGAGTCCTGCATGATCGGGCTCCAGCGTACCGCTCTGACTGAATCCCGGGTGACTACCCTTGGCCTTCAAGCACCTCGAGCACGACCAAGCTGCTCCTGTCTCGGGGTCTTACGTATGTGCTCCCTGTGCTCGGAAACTGTTGGTTCCCACTCAGATCTGAGCTTGAACGCTGTCCCTCAGTGAGGCCTCCTTTGGCCGCACTGTCTACTTAACACCTGCCTCCTAATCTTTTCTCTTTGCTTCCAAGTCTTTTTCAAAAAATTTATCAACGTTTTTATTTTAGTTCCAGTATAGTAAACTATATTAGTTTCAGGTGTATGATAGAATGATTCAACACTTCTGCACATCACCCGGTGCTCATCGTGACGAGTGCATTTCTTAATCCTCATCACCTGTTGCCCCATCCCCCACCCCCTCCCCTCTGGTAACTATCAGTTCTCTATAGTTAAGAACGTGTTTCTTGGTCTCTCTCTCTTTTTTCCTTTGCTCATTTTTTTCTTAAATTCCACTTATGAGCGAAATTGTGTGTATTTGTCTTTCTGTGACTTATTTCACTTAGCGTATACTCTCTAGCTCCATCCATGGTGTGCCAAATGGCAAGATTTCATTCTTTTTTATGGCTGAGGAGTATTGCCTCGTGTGTGTATACGTGTGTGTATGTATGTGTGCACACGTGCCACCTTTTCTTTTTCCATTCATCTGTTAATGGACGGTTGGGCTGCTTCCTTAATTTTGCTCTTGTAAATCATACTGCAATAATCATAGGGGTGCATGTATCCTTTTGAATCAGTGTCTTTGTATTTTTTTGGGGGGGGGTAAGTATCCAGTAGTGCAATTGCTGGATCATAGCTTTTTTAATTTCGGGGGGACCCTCCACGCTGTTTTCCACAGTGGCTTCACCAGTTTGCATTCCCACCAGCAGTGCAAGAAGGTTCCTTTCTCGCCTGTTCTTTCCAACACCTGTTACCTATCATGTTGTTGATTTTAGCCATTCTGACGTGTGTGAGGTGATATCTCATTGTAGTTTTGATTTGCAGTTCCCTAATGATGAGCTATGTCGGGCATCTTTTCATGTGTCCATTGGCCATCTGTGGGTCTTCTATGGAGAAATGTCTGTTCATGTCTTTTGCTCATTTTAAAATTAGATTATTTTGGTTTTGGGGTGTTAATATATTTTGGATACTAACCGTTATCAGATATGCCATTTGCAATTATTTTCTTCCATCAAAATATTGCCTTTTAAAAGTTTTGTTGATTCCTTCACTGTGCAGAAGCTTTTTATTTTGATGTAGCTCTAATAGTTTATTTTTGCTTTTACTTCCCTTGCCTCAGGAGACATACCTAGAAAAAAATGTTTCTAGGGCTGATGTCAGAGACGTTACTGCTCTCTCCTAGGATTTTTATGGTTTCAGGTCTCACATTTAGGTCTTTCATCCATTTTGAGTTTATTTTTGTGTATGGTACAAGAAAGTGGTCCAGTTTTGTTCTTTGGCATGTTGTTAATTTTCCCCCACATCATTTGTTAAAGACACTTGTCTCTTTTCCCATTGTATGTTCTTTCCTCCTTTGTCATAGATTAATTGACCCTATCATTGTGGGTTTATTTCTGAGTTTTCTATTCTGTTCTGTTGATCTGTGTGTCTATTTTTGTGTCAGTACCGTACTATTTTAATTACATCTTTGTAATCTTTTGAAGTCTGGAATTGTGATGCCTCCAGCTTTGCTTTTCTTTTTCAAGATTATTTGGTTATTCAGGGTCTTTTGTTTTTCCATACATATTTTAGGGTTATTTATTCTAGTTCTCTGAAAAATGCTATTGGCTTTTTGATGGGGATTGCATTAAGTGTGTAGATTGCTATGGGTGGTATAGATATTTTAACAATAGAGGTCCTTCCAATCCATGAGCCTGGAATGTCTTTCCATTTCTATGTGTCATCTTCAGTTTCTTTCATCAGTGTTTTATAGTTTTCAGAGTACACATGTTTCACCTCTTTGGTTAGGTTTATTCCTAGGTATCTTATTATTTTTGATGCAATTGTCAATGAGATTATTTTCTTAATTTCACTTTCTTCTGCTTTGTTTTTAGTGTATCCGAATGCAACAGATTTCTGTGCATTGATTTGGTATCCTGTGACTTTACTGAATTCATTTATCAGTTCTAGTAGTTGTTTGGTGGAGTCTTGAGGGTTTTCTGTATATGGTATCATGTCATCTGCAAATAGTGTAGTGAATGTTTTACATCTTCCTTACCAATTTGGATGCCTTTTATTTCCTTCTGTTTGATTGCTGGGGCTAGGACTTCCAGTACAATGTTGAATAAAAATGGTGAGTGCATATCCTTGTCTTGTTCCTGACCTTGGAGGAAAGGCTCTCAGGTTTTCCGCATTGAGTATGATGTTGGCTGTGGGTTTTTCTTATAAGATCTTTGTTATGGTTCCTCTAAACCTACTTTGTTGAGGTTTTTTTTAATGTTTATTTATTTTGAGAGAGAGAGAGAGATTGTGTGAGGGGGGAGGGGCAGAGAAAGAGAGAAGGAGAGAGAGAAACCTAAGCAGGCTCCACACTCAGTGCAGGGCTTGACATGGGGCTTGATCTGATGACCGTGAGATCATGACTTGAGCCAAAATCAAGAATCAGATGCTTAACTGACAGAACCACCCAGGCACCCCTTGCAGGGTTTGTTGTTGTTGTTGTTGTTGTTGTTGTTATCGTGAATAGATGTTGTACTTTGCTAAATGCTTTTTCTGCATCTATTGAAATGGTTATATGGTTTTTACCCTTTCTTTTATTGATGTGATGTTTCATGTTGATTGGTTTGTGAATATTGAACCACCTTTGCATCCCAGGAATAAATCCCATTTGTGGTGAATGATTTTTTTTTTAATTTTGTTGGATGCAGTTTGCTAGTATTTTGTTGAGGATTTTTACATCTATGTTCATTAGGGGTATTGGGCTGCAATTCTCCTTTTTTTTTAAATTTTTAAAAATTTTTATTTATTTTTGAGAGAAAGAGACAGAGTGTGAGTGGGGGAAGGGCAGGGAGAGGGAGGCACAGAACTGGAAGTCAGCTCCGGCTCTGAGCTGTGAGCACAGAGCCCGACGGGGGGCTCGAACTCACGAGTGGTGAGATCACGACCTGAGGTGAGGTCACACGCTTAACCGACTGAGCCACCCAGGCACACCTGTGATCCTCCTTTTTAATGGAGCCTTTGTCTGGCTTTGGAATCAAGGTAATGCTGGCTTCATAGAATGAATTTTTGTATTTTCCTTCCTCTTCTGTTTTTTGGACAGTTTGAGAAAAATAGGTATTAACTCTTCTTTAAATATTTGGTAGAATTCGCCTGTGAAGCCATCTGATCCTGGACTTTTGTTTGTTTGGAGTTTTTTTGACTATTGATTCAGTTTCATTGCTGGTAATCGGTCTGTTCAAATTTTCTATTCCTGCTTCAGTTTTGGTAGGTTATATGTTTCTAGGAATTGATCCATTTCTTCTAGGCTGTCCAATTTTTTTGGCGTATAGGTTTTGTTTTTAAAACATTTATTCATTTTTGAGAGAAAGAGAGAGACAGAGCACGAGCAGGAGAGGAGCAGAGAGAGAGGGAGACACAGAATCCGAAGCAGGTTCCAGGCTCTGAGCTGTCAGCACAGAGCCTGACGCGGGACTCGAACTCACTGACCGCAAGATCGTGACCTGAGCTGAAGTCGGATGCTTAACCGACTGAGCCACCCAGGCACCCCTGCATCTAGTTTTTTGTTTGTTTGTTTGTTTGTTTTTGTTTGTTTTTCGGCATATAGGTTTTTTGATAATATTCTTTTACAGCTGTTTATATTTCTGTGGTGTTGGTTGTTACTTCCCTTTAATTTGTTATTTTGTTTTTTATTTGGGTCATTCTTTTTATGAGTCTGGCAAGAGGTTTATCCATTCTGTTGATCTTTTCAAAGAACCAGCTCTGGGTTTCATTCATCCGTTCTATTGCTTTTTTAGTTTCTGTATCATGTATTTCTGTTGTGATCTTTATTATTTCCCTCCTTCTGCTGGTTTGGGGTTTTGGTCA